AGGAGTATATGAAACGGGAGACGCTGCGGGCCTGCACTGCGGGCACAGAGGTCAGCAGCTGTTGACGGTTTCGCAAACTGGAAGCCGAATCATTCACTCCCGCTGGGAGCTAAGTAACCCATGTGCTTTCCCAGGAGAATCACGAGGTGCGCGCTCTTTTTGGGATGCTTCCACGCCCAATGGCTTTAACACCAAGATTGGTGGGCCTGAATCTTTTTTGGGTTGACGCGCCCAGTGCCTGGATGGTCTCCGCGAAATCCGAGGCAGGACCCCTCCGTCATGAGAGCTGGCAGCCAGCAGTGGTGCCTCAGGCGGGCGCGAGGGAGCTGTTCTGAATTGAGACAAAAAACCAGATCCAATTTGACACCATGTGATCCCACTTACAAGGGAGACTAGGGGAAACCACAGCAGCCGACATGGCCCTGTATCTGGGTTGGGCAACCCCGGCGGGCTCCTTGGACTTTGCACGAGGGTGGAAAAGATGTTCCTTCCGGCCACCTCTTTGGACGCTGAACTGTAGGGTTTTGCCAGTGTTTTCGAGTATTTTCCGGATCATTGCTGGTTTTTAGAATATGAGATTAGCAAGCCTACAGATCACTGATGGCTGTTTTCCAAAAAGCCAGGGCAAATGGGATTTGGAAAGGACCCTGAGAGTAAACCATTTAGACGGGTCAGGCAGTGATTCAGCCCTGACCAGGCGTCTGACAATGGCTCATATTACAGTGTCGAGGGCTATCAAGAAGCTTGCCAAGCTGTCACAAGGCCAATCGTAATACTCAAAATCAATGCAGGAACCATGCTGACTGTAGCTTGCATTGCGGGCTGTGAAGAATTCGGGTTTGTTGCACATTTGCTGCAACCTTAAAAGGGAAGGTGTCCCTTGGTTTTCTTTTGAACCACCCCCAAAAAGTACGCAATCAAGAAAGGTAATCCGGCAAACCTGTTTCATGTTGGCCCGTCTTTCCAGGAGTGCATTGGAGGATTCGTGGCACCTGTTAAGACTTTTGCTTGAGGCCCAGACATGCTGACACCCCTTGGAATCGGACCACACAGACTTTTGAATTTATTGGCTATGGCTACCGACTGGATATCCGCCACGTTTTTGAAATTGAATTGGCGGGGAAGCAGGCGACCCCTGGAATTCCATGGTTTATGTTTTGTTTTTTGTGCAAGACTAGATGGAAGTGGGAGGATTCCATCCCCTCCCCCAATCCTCGGGATAGGCTGGATCAGAAGACCAGGATGCCACTCAGGAAGGCAGCTTGGACCGATTCCATGTGCAGCTAGCCAAGGGACAGGATCAAGTACCAGAGCCTTTGAACAGCTCCCAAGTGGGGCTCTCATTCGTTGTGGTTCTCAGGTGCATCGCTTGGGGAGAATCCTCAAACAAGGTTGGCGTACAAAGTTCCCATGTGAGTCACTGAGAGAATTGCCAGAAGTAGGAGAAGCAGGAGGCCAACACATCACGTTCGCCCGAGTGCCCACGAACCACCAGGCTTGTGCCTAGCTTCCTGGAGAATGTCCAGCCTTCTTAGATATCGGGGGTTGTCCTTCACTTAGGCACTCTCTTTTGGTTGCTGTGTTCAAACGGACCGAAGGAACTACTTTTTGCCAAGTAATCTTAGGCCTTGCGCCTGAATAAAGCAGCCAGGTTCAGCAGCTCCTCCCTGCGAATGGCGCTCGGCGCTGGGATTTGACTGATGTGCTGTCGAAAGACCCAGTCCTGCGGCCTGTAGAGGCGGTGATCAACCCGACACTGCAACCTAGCATGATGAGTTGTTTGGGAGCCATGACCAGAAGTGCCTGGATCGCTTGTGATGTGGCCCTTGTTCCTTGCCCACACTTGCTTGCAAATCAAGCGGACTCATGGTCAGGCCCGAAATGGCGGGTGTAAGGGCAGACTCCTTTACGTGTTTGTTTAATTGTGCGATTTGCTTTGAAAGATCCACACTAAGGGAACCCTTTGTATGCGCCTTCGAAAGGCCCAAAGACATCAACCGTTTGGAGCTGCAACACCCTTATGTGAAGGCTTCAGACTTGTAGGGCTAAATAGTGGAGCAAAGCTTTGCTCGACAAGCTTGTACATAGCTGGATTTTCCAGTAACGTGCGGAGTGCTGAGGAGTTTGCATTGTGGGGGAAGTTTGTAGGAAGTCCAGAGCTGCCACCCATGGACCAGTGCAATTGCAGGGATCTTGTTCGGGTGAGTTCAAAGGCTGCTTTTGTGCAGCACAAATTTCCTGCGGGACCTGCAGTATGTCAGCTCAGCAGCATGCCAACGCAGCACTTTTTGGCGGCTGAACAGCGGCCGTTCGCCAGCGCGCAACGTAGCGCCTCTGGGAGAAACAGCAACGCCGCAAGGCCACGATTGCATGCACCTGGGCAAGCGCAATGATCAAGTTGCTTCCGACAGCGTCCGCGGTCACTCGAAGAGATAGCACACCCATGAAGCATACACAGGCAGTATAGGCATCGCGGATCATCGATGTCACTGTCAAATCTTGCTGCGGTGCCTGTAGTGAGGGCATTATTTTGCAGAGACTTGCAGCCAGCCCATCTGTGCAAGGGCACACAGCATGGGGAAGGATGCTTTAAAAGCTTTGGGACATGCCAATCTGACGACTCAGCTTCTTCCATTCTTCGAGCATTGTTTTGGTTGTGTAAAGTGTTTCTTCTGCTTTCCCCTTGTTTCTGACCACGAGTCCCCCCTCCGGAACAATACAAGCCAGCGCAGTGCAGAATGTGTTGCCGTCCCGGAAAATCATCCATTTCCCGCAATGGAGTATGGGAAGCTTTGGTAAGGAGCTGGTCCAGAATCCGAGTCGAGCAGGCAATGCTTTCCGCCGAGCCATGCCGCAGAGATGGCGGATCTTTGCATTGGCAGCATGTCTGTGCCGACTGCATAGCTGGTCCTTTGGAACCCCACTTGAACAGAGTCGTCTTTCCTTTTGAAGTGGTTTGCTTTTCAAGCATACTTTGTTGATTTCCCAACCTTGTCGCACCTTGCTTTCCATTCTCCACACGTTGCCGCGGCAAGGGGCGCTTAGAGGTGTCAAGGTGCCGCGGGCGGCCTGGGATGACAAGATCAACTTGCCGGCGCCAAGGCCCATCCACGACCCCTCGGAGGCCAGGCACGCACCCATGGATCCAATGGTGTCACCCAGAGAATGCCACAGCTAGGCAGTTCCCTCTAAGTTTGTTGGACTTTTGGGCCAAAAGCCTGAAACTGAGCTTGCTTCCTATTGTCCGAAACTGGTCAAAAGTTCCCCGGAAGGTCAAAGGGAAAGGAGCACCTGGGAAAAGAGAAAGTAACACCTTGGAGAAATCCAAGGGAAAGGACAGTTGTTTCCCAAGTTCCCCTTGAACCTCCAACATCCAATGTTGAAACTTCTATCAATCTCCATGCAAATGTATGTCGTCTTCACATCCCAAACTCAACCACCAACACCTTGGTTTCCCTCCAAAAACGAGGAAAAACTCCCAAAGCTAGTTGCTAACTTGAACGTAGCCAAAACCCTCACGCGAACCGAAAAAAAGACGGCGTTGTTTCCCTCGGTTTGGGGCTTCGGCAGGCTGGAGACTGGGAAGAAGGAGGTGGGGCGGAGTCCGAGGGCTTGCCCCGGTGGTTTCTGGAGCTGAACGTGGCGGGCTTCGAGCCGGACCTCAGGTGCGGCGACCAAAACGGGGGTCCCTTCCATTTGCTTAAGAAGATTTGATGTAAGAGTTGTTTGGAATTAAAGGAACATTTATTACTTCATCTCTACTGGATATATTTTTTCTGCCCAGGGCACAAGAAAAGCAAACCCCGATTTGGTTTCCTTTATTCGGGAATCCCCGAAACGGTTCATCCCCAACACCCGGAAGGTAATTGCCTACAGAGCACCAGCAATTTAAGGGATATGGGTGCCTCGTCTTTTGGTTTTGCTTAAAAAGACACCCATGCCCTCAAAGGGCCCGGGTTTGCCTTAAGGGACCCTCCCAAAAATTGCCAAACGGTTTTACTTGTGGTTTCCCTTCACCAGCAAAAAAAACGGGAACCCACTCCAAACAAAGGAACACCCATCTGCCGGTTCTCGCGCAAAGCCCTAGAGGAGGTTCCTGGCTTGGGGTTAGGGATGCGCCTTTTTCTAGATCCCGTGAAGGACATGGGCGGCCCAACACCAAGTCGCCCGCTGGGATTTGGGTTTGTTTGCTTTTGGGGACTCTTTTTGGATGTGTTTTTTGGGGAAAGGTTGGTTAAAAGGGAAGCCAAGTGGAAAGCATCCATGTTGCGGGTCCGCCTGTAGCGACACGAGCCCAATGTCACAAAAGTAGCGAACTGCTGTTTGGAGGGCAAGGGGAAGCCAAGAGTCAACCACCTTGGAGAGATTAGTCGCTCATTTTGAGACCCATACGTTTGGGCCAGTGAGAAAAACACGCTTACCAGCCGATTTAGAGCATCCCTTTGTAAAGCAGGTTTTTTTTTGCATATGTACCCTTGAAGATGGTCGGTGATGGGTGTTGAAGGAAAGGGAAACTAGGAATTGCCGATGTTGCTTTTTGTTGGGTTCTAACAGATTCATTTGATGGATTCCAACAAATGTGTTCCAACAAATGGCTTCTAACATGCCACACGCACATGATTGTTCCCTTGTTCATGAACCCATTCATCAGGTCCCTGAAAATTCCTCCCTTGACGTAACAACACCTGCCCAGGTTTTACAGCAACTTCATCGAAGACGCGGCGCGGCGCGGGGATTTGCGCGCAGCCGAGCGCTGGCTTCAGAACGCGAGGAAGGCTGGCGTGGATGCGGATGGGGAAGCTCGGTATGAACCGGAGTCCGACGTTTTGGCTTTCCAGTTTTGGAGTCTAGCGGTTCCATCTACAGCAGGTAATGTCCAATGGGGATTAGTAACAGGGGAGCCCTGCCCAGGTTTTACAGCAACTTCATCGAAGACGCGGCGCGGCGCGGGGATTTGCGCGCAGCCGAGCGCTGGCTTCAGAACGCGAGGAAGGCTGGCGTGGATGCGGATGGGGAAGCTCGGTATGAACCGGAGTCCGACGTTTTGGCTTTCCAGTTTTGGAGTCTAGCGGTTCCATCTACAGCAGGTAATGTCCAATGGGGATTAGTAAAGGGGAGCCCCCCCCCCCCCCCCCCCTAACGATGGGGGCATGGGGAATAGTATGTTGAGGTGAGTTTCCATCAGATTTAGTATTGGCAGACTTGAGTTTCAAATGGATCTAGTATTGCTGGAGCTTCCTTTTGAGATTTGGATCTGAGTTTCAAATTGATTTAGTATTGCTGGAGCTTCCT